TGGGGTGTGCCAAGCATGGTCATCATCTGTCTGTTGAGTAAAGGGCTCTAACTGCTGTGTTTTGTTCTCTACCTTTGGCTATGTATTCAAAGAAAGGAGTGATCCCATTTTTTCAGAGACCCTCAGTTAACAATTTGGTTTGCTGATGTCTTGATAGTTTTTGGCTCAAAATAAGCGTAGGAAATGGGGAAAGCTGGCATGATCTTTTAAAAAACTCCCGGTGTTTTTTTGGAGGGGAGAGGATTGAGGGAAGGAAACTGAGAGAGTAAATATCGACTGACTGCATATGGCTAAACATACTCTTCCTCACTTGTTCAGGATTAATTAGCAAGATTAAATAGCAAGAAGAATGAAAGCCATAGATTAAATTAGTCCAGCCCAGTTTCCTATAACCTGATACCCTGCGAGAGTGAGCTGTCTGCTTCAGTGTTGGTTGCTGTGCTGCTGCAGATGGTTGAAATCCTCTGGTTGAAGTTTGAATGAGTCTGAAGATTGCACAACCATCTCACCACACCAGAGAAGGTCTCTCGAGGTCAGCAGTGGGACAGGCAGAGGAAGTGCCATGCGGGAAGTCAGACTTAGCCTCTCTTCCCACTTTATTTGCTCTGCAGATAAACAAATTGAGGGTTTGAGTCTTCAAGGCTGTCCGCGTGCCACCTTTGGAAGACCTTCTCCTAGAGAAATAGGAAAATTAACCGCATGCTCAAATTGGTCCCAATTCTTACGGGAAGGCTTCTGTGTGAGTCCATGACCAACTTTTTCCACTGAGATTGTGTTACAAAATAGTTGTGGAATTAAGTTACAAAGAAAAAAAAATCCTTTTTTCCTTTTTATTTTTTGCACAACTCCGTAGTTGGTGTTGAGCTGCCCTACTTTGAAACAAATCTGACCCTGTCCTGTATGTTGAATTGGCTTTCGTGCTCCGTGAACTGTGACATGTTCAGACACGAGACTTTAAATTAGGAATGGCAGACTTCGGATCAGTATTGTGGTATTTGTAACCTCTAGCATTTTCTATCCCGCTTTTCCCCAGGGTCTCCTGCCCTCACTGGCACTGGAACGATTGCTGTCACAGTGGATGATGTCAACGACAATGTCCCCACGTTCGCCTTTGATGTGTATTCTGCCACGATTCTGGAGGATGCCCCTACAGGGACAGATATTTTGCTAGTAAACTCCTCAGATGCTGATGCTTCTACAAATGCTGTTATTAGGTAGGTCGCTTGCTGTTACTCTGTTATGCAGTACTGCCTCGTACCTTGCCTGCAGATTTTTTTTTTTCCTAATGTTCATCGCCAGTATGACACGAGCCTTAAGGCACAAGACAACAGTTGTATGTTTGCAGCTAATTGATACAAACAAATCTAGCTTATTTGGATGTAGAGTTGTGAGGGGATATAGAATTGTATTAAGAACAGCGTGGTTCTTAAGTTTTTATAAAGCTAAAAGCAAATGAAATTTTAATTCACACCTGAGTTTATTGCTAATGGGTTAAATATAACTGTTTTATTCATATTTCTCTAAATTTAGAGCTAAGCAGAAATTTAAAAAAATTAAAAACCCGAACCCATTTAACTCTAGAGAACGTCATAAATGAATTAAGCATGAAACTTGCAGTTTCTATATGTACATTCCCTGAATAATGAAATATGATACAGGCTGTGAATACTCTGCATTACTGCCACTCATTAGCAATTATGGACTATGAAAAGGCTTAAGCCTTATATTTAGCATAGCTTTTAGAACTGAATCTTTGTGGTTAAATACATAGTTAATATGTATAACAAGTTTTGAAGCGTATTCCTGAAGCAGTTAGAAGCTGTTGTTTTTGGAGGCTGACAAACTTAAGCATTAGTCAAAAGAGGTTTGGGAAAGGGCTTGGCAGGGGAGAAGACATTTAGTTAAGTTTAAAACTTCACTCACAAACCTGATACAAAAGCCAGCTTTGTGGCAGGGCTCCATCCATCCAAATATCACTTACAAACCTAAAAAAGTATATAGAAGATATTTTGCAAATCTAGTCATCTTTGAATTTTATCTATTAAGCTAGTTAAATCTAGAAACTAGTATCACTTTGTGAGCCTCTTCTGATTTTTGCATAAAAATTTTCAAACTCTGATGGTTAAAGTTTTTCTAGTGAAAGCATACAGACGTTTCGGGAATGCTACAGTATCTTGCTTTGATTCTAAAATGCTAGTTCATATATAGTGTGTGTAGTGTAGACTACTTTTGCAGACTTTGTATTGATAATAAACAAAATGATTTATATTACTTGACTGATGCACCGGCACTGCTTATGTGGGCACTGGGTTGAACGCTGTGTGCAGTTTTAGAGACGGGAATAATGACGATGCTAAGTGGCAATGACAAGCCTTTACCCACTGAGGAGAGGTTTACTGCAAATGCAATACAAATCAGGCTATTATTAGTTATTAATCACTCCTTGATATTCCCAAGGACCAATAGGTAATCCCTTTGAATTTAGCCTTTGTATATGCAAACACCTGCATCTCTGTTCCCAAACATGCACAAGAATACAAAGGTTGCTTAACTTGATCTACTTCTATAATTTCAGCTCAGTTTATTCTGCGAGTGCAGAAGAATATCACTATGGTCACTATGGTCATAATTTAAAAAGTAATAGTGAGGTGAAATAAAATAAAACAGAACATTATAGCTAAATGAGTGGGTTTGAAACACTATAATATATTCTTTCTCACTAACTAGAAGCCTGAAATAGGAAATTTATATTTTGACATCTTTAAAAGACTTGAAAGGTGTCCAAAGTTACCATGTATTGAATTGTGAAACAATGGAGCTTTTAATTCTACTCGCTCTCACCCTAAGAACCATTTCTGGAAAGCTTCTTTAGTAAAGAAGCACGCGAAGCATGAATGATTGTAATGATTGCATCTCATGATTGAATTTATCAGAGTGCTCTCAGATTTCTCTAATGTGGCTGAATTGCATGGGTGTTTCTGCAATTAGTCTTCATCATTCATTCACTGCATCATAGTAGAATAGCTGATAAAAGTATTTCATAAGTAGCTGTTTAAAAATTGATCTGAGGTTCTGTTTTGTGCTTTTTAGACTGTGGAGCACACTTTATTTTTCTTGGACAGATTTTTCTTCAGATTCAGCAATTAGAGTAACGTAAATCTTAAAATATGACTGGTATTACACAACTGGCAAAAGCTAGATGGGCCAGAACACATATGGTCTGCTTTTGGAGGTGCTGAACACTCAAAACTTCTTTTCAGATTTGTTAGAGCCCCTTTCAAAATGTTCTTTTAGTGTTTTTTGAATGCTAAAGCTTGAGCCACTCTTCATATGTGGAAGAGAACCCGTGTCTCATATGTGACACCTCATGCAGTTTTAGAACATTCTAAATTACAGATGAAATTTGCCCATGCTACTGATATTTAGGGAGATACAAGTGGCGCTTCAGGCTGGGTGCACGTCCTTTCAACCCTAGATGCACATTTCTTTAACTGGAGAATAATTACACATGGCCATCATGTTAAATCATAATGAAGCAATTAAAGTGTGCTCATGGCATGCTGCAGAGATTAATGATGGAACACGAGAAGCTGCCTTGGTTGATTACACGGAGTGACTTTCATTCCTCTAGGTAAAGCTTCTGTGTTTCTGTTAGTGTTTATGTCATAACCTCTTTTGATTTTAAAAATGTAATTTAAAAATTTAAATGTAATGTAAAAATTTATTTTTTAATAAATAATATAACTTCATCTTTTATAACTGTTCTCTTTTGAATGATTTATAGAATCATATACTTTAAAAAATAGCTGTTACTGTGCTGTATTGGGCTTTTCTGAAGTACTAGGGCCTTTCTCTAGCAGGCCACTTTTTGAGAGAATGTCCAACTGTATCTCTAAATGTACTAAGACTCAGACTGCCACTTGTATACTGTAAGTGTATTTGTGTTAAGCAGCTACATTTGAAAATCCCCAGAAATATCACTTATGACAGGTTTCAGACTAGAAATACGGAAAAGGAAAAAGTGAAGACAGGTTGACAGGCAGAAGTAAATGAATGTGTTGATATACATCAGCATGGTGGTCCAACCAATCTAAAAAATGCTATTAACTTAATTATAGGCTGTTTTTTGAAATAGTAATTGGTATTTTCCCCCCTTCTTGTTTTTCTTTCAAACAGCTACCGGCTTATTGGTGGCAACTCACAGTTCACAATCAACCCCTCGACGGGCCAGATCATCACCAGTGCTTTGCTGGACAGAGAGACCAAGGAGAACTACACCTTGGTGGTTGTAGCAAGCGACGGTGGCTTCCCGGGCGCGCTGTCCAGTTCCACCAGCGTGCTTGTCACTGTCACCGATGTCAACGACAACCCACCCAAATTTCAGCACCATCCCTATGTCACCCACGTCCCATCACCTACTGCCCCAGGTAACTTGAGCAGTTGGTGGTGCTTCAGATATTTTGGATTGCAGGTCATCTGCAACTCTAATTTTGGTCCTGTCCCGTTTTTCTCAAGGTTTTGAATACTGTCATTTTAAAATATTCCTTCCCTGGAGTACAAATCAGTGCACATGACAAATAGTG